TATCTTTTTCTTTTCTCTTGTAAAATAATAACTGAAAGTTGCTTCAAGAAAAAAAAGTCCAAGGATACAAGAAACAGCAATTTGATTTTTTTTTCTCCTGGTAACTGCAGCAGACTGGTAAAGCATTATTAGCTGTTCTTACAATGATTAACTTATATTTGAAGAAACCAGCTGATCCTGTATGCATTTAGCAATATTGCTGCCATCGTATCTGCAAAACCACACTGAATAAATCCTTAAACAATCTGCAGTGAAGAACTAACTGTAAAGAAGTAGACCAGATTTGGCAATTACTTCTTTAACTGTGACTTGACCAAAGAAACCATATTCATGTAAGCATTTTTACAAATTAAATGGAAATCTATTTAACAATGATCAAAGCGGCCTGCTGACAAGTCTCCACATGCCTTTCTCACTCTAGTTTTACAAGTTTTAGGAGTCGTCTTATACTTTACAATCACAGCAGTGATCGCTGCAGATGGAAGCACTGCTGTTTGTACCCTGACTCAGAAGAAGAAAAATGCTATTTGTTCAGGTAAACCTTAGGAGAATACTGGGAAGTATTTCTGCTTTCTCTTTAATTAATGCCATTTGTCACCGTAATGACATATCACTAATAAACAGCTTTGGAGAAATTAGTATTTAATTATACATTAAATTCTATAAAGCATAAAATTATCATGAATGTTTAGTAAATACTTTGATAAAGAGCTTGGTTATTCTTTCCAGAATAATGTCCTGTGCTGCAGACTAGCTTTTTTTTATATATATATATTTTTTTAAAACGATGTTTTACTCCAAAGAGCTTGACTGACCAAAGTAGCTATACTCCTAAATTATTACTTAGTATTGCATCTGATAAGTGGCTAATAGATTGTCCTGTCCTTACTGCTGAGGACTTTTAAGGATTGAAGAGTGGGAGAGAGGACTCTGCAAGCTAAAACTCATCTGTTCCTAGCCTCTCTATCTCCCAAATAATATAAATTTCTTTCCAGAAAAAAAGGATGCTACCTCTGTAGAGCCTAGTGGATCTTCTGCCACACTGCTGTGATTTTTATCGACCCTCTCTGTCTCTCCATTGGCTACCCATTTTACTTCACTGAATACAGCTTTTTGTCTTTACCTTTAAGGCCTGGATCACTTCTTGTGAATGCCTTGCCAGCTGTCCTGAATGCGATCAGCCTGTGAGCTTCTGCTCCCTTGATGCCTGGCCACCAAATATCCACCAGCACGATTTGCCCCGCGATATTTTTGTGCATGCTCCAATGCCGCGTCCCCCCTCGTGGGATGAATCCCCCTGTAAAAAAAAAAAAAAATCCAGAAATCCACCGCAGTGTCCTCCTGCAATACCACAGCACACCGGACAGCTGCTAGCTAGGGGACTGGGCGACTACGCTCACCACCACCGACACTCACTCCCCAAGGGTGACTTCAGAAAAGGGGGCTCTGGAGCCCGGGTGGCGCAGAACAGGGCTAGGTCGCGGCAACGGCCCCGGTCCGTACTGCGCCCCGGAGCCCTCCCGAGCTCCCCTGGAGGCGCGTGGGTCCCTCCACGGGAAAGCCGCGTCCGGCACCGCCACCTCTGAGGCGAAACCCC